CCGGTCTGTCCTTTAGTTTACAGATATATACGAATGAGATATCGTTTGGATCTTTTGATAATGTTTTCGATGTCTTAACACTATTCTCGACCGCAACAGAAGGATAAATGGGTACACATTTGACCACCAGATCTGTGTCCTCGAAATTGTAATCAATATAACTATTGGTTTGTATTTTCACTTCGGCTGAGATGTCGTGATAACGATTGATGAGACAATCGGCGTCCAGTGGGCCGTGGAGTGTAAGGCCGTTGTGAGAGACACCGATGTCGTGACAGGTGAGCGCCAGACCAATCAATCCACTCATGTTTTCAATACACCGTCGAGTTATGAATACATTCTCCAGTTTTGATAATTTGTGTCTATTTTGAGATAATTTGTGTCTATTTTGAGATCATTTGTGTCATTAATGGGTTTTCAAATACAGACAGACATGTAGTGATCACTAACTTGTGTTCGTTTGCCATTCTTTGTGTGCCATCACCGCAGTTGAATAGATAGGTGTTCCCATTGGTCCATACATACAGAGCTCTTGGGTTGCCTTTGGATCCATTGCCCAAAATAGATAAGTGAAACTCATCTGATGGCAAAATATTCTTCGAGGTCTTTTTGGGGGTTTTCGTGCCATTATCGTTCCGTTTCTGAACATTATCTGAGAACAGAAACTGTTGAAGGAGGAGTAACTCATATCATAACTCAGCTAACATTCTGTTTACAGAGGTTGTCAAGTAGTTATCTATAAACCTAGAAGACCACTCTGTACACAACGTTCAGATCCCAAACGCACCCATATTTGTGCAAAGTTTTCATTCACGGCGCCTGTATTGTCAAAAGTCTTTGAGTGCCCATAAATGCCACCAATTTGTATGACATGTTACAAAACTGGCGATACAGATGCCGATGTTTATTGGTCCGAAAGGTGGATCAGTTGGGACACGGCTTTACTGAAGAGTTTTCACCATATGATGTAACTTTAAAAACTTTTCACAAAATTGCATTCATATATGCCATCCATAATAATGTGATGCAAACTGAACCCCACATTCACTGATGCATTGATAGTGAATGCATTGACCCTCACATTCACTTGTGTTTGACTCACGCTTTATAACACGTTTATTATGAATGCATACTATGTTTACACTGAAAATGATTTGTTTGTTTACTATTGACACCGATTTTGCGCATAAGAGTCGATAATAAGTTAAGTAAAACTTAATTTAATATTAATAGTCTGTTAATCAAATTAATTACAAGACTTGTAATCAATTTACTAACTGTACAGCAGTTTATAGCAATACATTGACAACACAGTTGTATGAATACATGAATTGAGTGCACAATTGACTCTCATTTGCAAACTTTGTGCGGCCTTCACATCAAGTGATTGCAAGTGTTTTGTCAAAACTTATAGTCAGTTAGCGTTGAGTTCATTAACAGTCATATTGTTTACCACTATTTAAGTGATAAATACAGCACTGAATGGACTTTAAGTTCACAGATTGTGTCCAATACTTGATTACTGTCTAATCGATGGTTTAGATCCTTCATAAGTACACCACAAGTGTATGAATTGAGTCCAAATTGTGAGTCCATATACAGTACCAGTTTAGTAATTATCTCAACCATCACTTGATTAGATCCAATATGAAGACATTGTTGAGCAGTTTGTATAGAAATGATTGCAAACTGTGGTCACACGTGTTGTCCACCAAATGGTCCACCAATTCAAGAGCGTATTCATCCGTTTCGACAATCAATCAAAATGTTGTCAACGAAACCAAACTCAACTCAAAGACCATTCGCACGGAAGCGAAGGCCAATTGGATCCCATTCTCGAGACCAAGACATGGCTGCTTCACACAAGAGATGCCACAACTGGACAATCAGTTCACTTCGGACGCCTTTCTTCAGCGATATCTGCAAAGAGTTCTCCCAAAAGATGTAAAGCTTTTAAAAACGTTTTGAATTTTCAATGAAAATCAATGACTAAATGGTTGACATGTTTTCAGATGTATAACGAGATCAGCGGTGATTTGACACGATTTGGCAGTCGTGTGGCCACTGATGTCTACGAATTAGGTCTTGAATGTGACAAACATCTGCCACAACTGGTCCAACAGAACGCTTGGGGACACATCTGTAATGATCTCTATGTCTGCGATGCATGGAAGCAACAGAAGGTAGTGTCAGCCGAAGAAGGGGTCGTTGCCATCGGTTATGAACGCAAATACCGGGAGTTCTCGCGATTATATCAATTCGCGAAACTCTTTCTGTACGCCCCCTCCTCTGGACTCTACTCGTGTCCCATAGCTATGGTCGACGGCGCCGCCAAAACCATTGAATCTCTGGCTCTCGACAAACAGCCTCTCTATGAAGACATCTTTGAACGGCTCACCACTCGAGACACCAACAGATTCTACACATCCGGACAATGGATGACCGAAAAGGGCGGCGGATCTGATGTCGGTATGAATTGAAGCTATAGTTGTTTTGTTTGGAAATTGATTAATGTATTGCTGTTGAAGCCGGCGGTACTGAGACAGTGGCCGTCCCTATGGGTCGGGATATGTTTAAACTGTATGGCTATAAATGGTTCTCTTCGGCCACCGACGCAGACATAGCCTTAACATTGGCCCGAATTGCTGACGACGAGGGAAATGTATTACAGGTATAAGTCAACTGAGAGTTTAGTCTAATTTGAAATTTTATGTAAAATTGTTTTTCATGATTGAAGGGAACGCAAGGACTGACACTGTTTTTACTGAAAGTCAGAGACGATACGAGCAAACAATTGAATGGCATTGATATGATTAGACTGAAAGACAAATTAGGGACCCGTCAGGTGCCCACCGCTGAGTTACTTCTGGACGGCACTGTCGCTCATAAAGTATTGATTCGTGAAATGCAGTCAAAACATTTGCTATCAATTCAATTGTTTTGTTTGGTATTCAGATGTCTGAAGAGGGCAGAGGTGTGGCCGCCATCGCCAATATGCTTCAAATCACACGCATTCATAATGCTGTTGGAAGTGCAGGTTCTATGAGAAGGTAGTGGTGCTAACCATAAGATTATGGTATATGTTATTGAAATTAAGTGTTAATTTTGATGATTGGATTACAGAATAATAAGTATTGCCAGAGATTATGCTCAGAGAAGGAAAGCATTTGGCAAACCCATCAGTCAGTATCCAATTCACATGCAAACACTGGCCCGTATGGACATCGAGGCAAAGGGCGCCTTTATGTTAGCCTTTGAGGTATGCATTAATACCGTACAAAGATTTTTATGCATTTACCAAATGAATGGTTTACAGACCGTAAGACTGTTAGGCAAACAAGAGATGGGTTTGGCTACTGATGAAGACGTACTGGTGTTGCGATTATTGAATCCAATTTCAAAACTATTTGTTTGCAAACAAGCGCTTTCAACCATATCTGAAGGATTGGAGGCTTTTGGAGGACAGGGAGCTATGGAGGACACGGGACTGCCTGTTTTGCTGAGAGATTCTCAGATTTTTACGATATGGGAGGGAACTACTAATATATTGTCTTTGGATGTGTTGCGAGTTTTATCCAAAACCGGTGGCGAAGCTCTGCGTGCCTTAAGATCTCATATTAGAAGTCGTTTAGAGTTAGCTTTAAATCACGCAATACTTAAAGAGGAAGCCATCAAAGTTCAGACGGCTATCGACTCCATCATTGACTTGATTTACAATAATCCCAATGTATTGGAGGCCGGCTCTCGTGATTTGGCATTCAGTTTGGCCCGACTTTTCATTGCGTCCACACTTCTGGAGTCGTCGTGTTTGGTGGGCTCCACAGACTTGGATGAGATAACAGCGCTCAGGTATTTAATTACATTATTCTCATAATTGTTTCATAGCTTACAATAATATCTTTGATTTATTTTATCATATTTTCTGTGCAGATGGTGTAAAAGCCAAGACTTGACACCTTTTCTTACAAATTATGGACTCAATTATTATGATAAAAACTCGATTGAAAACAATTACAAACTGGTTATGGAATCCTATAATAAGTGAATCTTAATGTCTGTATCGACACATCTATTGATCGGTGAAATATTTTCAATGTTTTAATGTGGCAGTAGTTATACGGTATAAGATATGACATTCTGTACGGTACTGTTCTCTATATATTTGGGCACTATTGCAATATTCCCATACAGAATATGAATGGGATTCTGTATGGGAATATTCTATTAATGTATCAGAATAAGTGTGGTAATTAATTATTTTTATGATAATATTTTGAAATATTTACTTGACAATATTATAAAACTATAAAATAATGAGCTTTACTACGATAAGTGATAAAAATTATTTTTATAAACTTTATAACCAATCATTACATGACTGTACGTCAGATTATACAGTATAATAATTCTACATTATACAGTATAAGTTTATGTATAATTATTTTCTATTCGTGTTGTAAATTATATGTTAATAAATTTGTTATATAAACCATATTTGCAATTCAATAAATGGTATTTTGATTATAATTGTTATTTACTATTGATTATAAAAGTATGTGAATTCATTGAATGGTTACCAACCCTATGTGGAAATGGTAACACTGTTTGTGAATCATATGATCTAATGTTAGTAAACAAAGTGATCGTTGAATGAAACGTTTGTTAAGATTTTGAGTTCACTGTTAAAAACGCTTACAATTAAAAGTTATACTTAATTACAATTGTTTGAAACACTGTATAATAATAATTATAAATAAATGTTACACTTGTGTCGTGTATATAATGAACACAAACTGTGAGTCTAACGATATCTGAGTATATAATACATATAGAAAACAATGCATTCATTTGAATGATAAGCCATTGAATTGAATTGATTTATTCAAGCAGATTTATGTGACCAATAAATATATAATTATTGCAAATCATGTTGTAATCAATACATGCGATAGTCATTCAAATATGAGTCCCGATATGACCCACCCGTCCCATCACTCCCACCCATGCATTCAAATCATATGAATTGATCATTAATTTGCATTTTTATATATAATTAATGCATGTTTTTATTACTAATTATTATTATTTATCATGAATTGTCTTGTAATGTATAGTCAAATGTCAAATAAAACATATTATTTAACCGTAAACTAGAGATTGAAAATGTATTTCCCGGTCATTGCGATGTATGTCATACCTACCCGTCCTATCAAGTGATTAGGGGAATGGTAGGGAAGGGTAGAAATGGTTGAATCAATAATACGGTGATTGGGACGACATATAAGTTTACGTCTATTAATAAGTTTGATGTGAAATGAGTGCCAAAAAGTGATGCATTCAATGAATGGTACAAATTTAGTGATAAGACAATTGCTATGAATTGTTAGACAACTTCAAACAAAATGCTTTCAAAAACAACAACTATTTATAAATAGCTGTAAATGATTGCGAAATTCAAAGTGTGTTTTGTGTGCCTTTTAATTATAGACACATTTCGTGTCATATAATGCGATAAAAAGCAAAAGCGTTTGAAAAATATTATTGTTTGACATTCACTGCGAGAATCGCTAAGAATTTGCATCTAATCTGTAGTTAACTTAAAAGTTTTTGAGACGTTTGTGAGACTAGTATTTGAGGTTTTATTATCATTTCGTGTTATCTATTAATACGTGAATTTGTTTCAAAACGTCTTAATAATGAATTGATTTTTTGGTGTTTTACAGCCAAATGTGTAATGAATGCGAGAAAATGGGAAATAAGTTATAAATCTATTTTTGAAGTCAATGAAGACTATTACTAAATGTTTGTCTGTAATAAATCAATACAAGAGTAAGATTAGAGGATAGAAAGCATACAATACTTTTGCATTCAGTCTCACAACTGTTTGCCGTTTTGTGCATTTTTTTCACTCATTTTCCAAACTTTTCGCTTCAATTTATGTTCAAATCTACTATTATTTTATTTTTTGACTCAATTTTTTAAATGTGAAACCAAAAAGTGTTTTGGATTTGTTTCAAACACAGAAATACTATTTTTATTCTTTAACTGTGAATTGAATTATATGTTTGAGTGTCAAAAGTTTTCTCGTTTTTATTTGTTATTTATTAGGAAAGAAAAAATAGATAATAATTTTCATATCAATTAAAATTATAATGAATTCTCTTTCAAATTAGTGAACATTTTGTTGAATTTGATTAAAAAGTGATGATTAAAGGGATGGATCAGCAGATTGTGTGCAACGTTATAGTGAACGCTCACGAGTGCGAGGGCTCGATAGCCGAGGCCAAGGACTGCCTCCGATCGGTG